CCAGGTGACTGCATGTAGCAAATCCTGGGAGTAATCTTTCAAAGGAGACTTGGGACTCGTGTCTTGCACTGGTCCGGGCCCCGTAGAATTAAACGGCTAAACCCTAAACCCCTAAACCCTTAAACCCCTAAACCCCTAAACCCCTCCAAACCCCCTAACCCCTACACCCCTAAACCTTACACCTCTAAACCAGTCAACCTTCAGGTCTCAGTGCTTCGGTGCCTACGTATACCCGTCCCTTTCGCCAAGCCATCTGCGCACGCCAAAAAACAGATCCTACGAAGATCCCAAGCACCTAACCCTCAACCCTAACCCTAATACCCTAATACCCTAATACCCTAAACCTTAAACCGTGAACCCTCATATGGAATCTGTATAAGCCCTATAAACCCCCCCTGGCCCTGCAACCTAAGCCTCCACAGGCTCCTTTCGGCAGGACCCCTCAACCTAATCGAGCGCCCTTATTATAAATGTCATTTGGTAGAGGGTGCTTAGGGTTTAGGGGTTTAGGGGTTTAGGGTTTGGGGTTTAGGGTTTAGGGGTTTACGGGGTTTAGGGGTTTAGGGGTTAGGGTTCATCCAGGCCTCAGACAACAGCAGAACGCAAACTGTCCAAAACCCGACAGCTTACTCCCGCAGCCCTGCAAATCTTCACCCCCTGAATGTCCCACAAGAGATACCTTCCAAGCTGCAAAAGCTCGCGTGTGGTCTTTGCAACTCGGATCGACTCACGAGAATACTGCTCCTTGCTGCTTTTTCTTCAGGTCTTATACACAAAGGTTTTGTAGGGCGTGATAACTGGAAAGGGTTCATATCCCCTAAACCCTAAACCCTAAACCCTACCCCTTAGGGTTCATATAGGACTGTTTGAGGTTTGATGAGGCTTTAGAGTTCACTCTTTGGGGCTTTCAGAATTTGCGGACTTTAGGTTTTGCGAGATCTAAGGGTCCTTAGCTGCTGAGTTCGTCATAAGCACAAGAGAGTGTAGACTTTCAGTTCAAAAATAAGGGGTCAAATTAACCCAAAAAGTTTAAAAAAGTGTACTCATTCAGCTAGTAAGGGTCACGCAGCCTTTACAAGTTTAATGCAGGGGTTCTCGGCTGGGTTTAGGGCGTATTATCGGGCTGGGCGGCGGCTTCGGGGTTGAGGGGTTAGGGGTTTAGGGCTTGAGGGTTTAAGGGTTGAGGGTTTAGGGGCTTAGGGTTTAGGGGTTTAGGGTTTAGGGGTTCAGGGGCTTAGGGTTTAGGGGTTTAGGGGTTAGGGGTTTAGGGTTTGGGGAAGGATTTCGGGCTTCAAGGTGTAGGGAAACTCTTGCTTGTCCCGGTTCCTTCTGAATCTCGGCACCTCGATCTTTTGCAGATTCGGGCCGAGGGGTCCCAGCTAGCATCCTCTTCATACCACCCTTTCTACCCTCACCAAAATATGCTGTATGACATAAACCTTAGCGTTATGTAGGTTTAAGGGCTCCCCTTGGCACATTGCACACCAGAGACAGGAAAGATGACTAGCTTGACGACGAAGGCTCGGCGTTGACGGCATCGTTCTCCTTCGCTGCTTTCATGGTGATGTCCACCTTGGGTGGCAAAGACTTTATAAAGAAGGTCAGGCAGCAATCCCAAATCCTCAAACCTAAAGCCCTACCTACAGTCTCCATTGTAGTGCCGTTTTGGGGTTACCTTATAGGATCCTTAATATAGAATTGGTTAAAACCAAAAAAGGAACTACAATGGAGAGACTCTAGGTACATTGGAAAGTACTGACACCCATATTGCTGCTGGCTCCCGAGGCACGTAGACAGCGAGAATGACGTTGAAAATGCCCATGGTCACCAGCATATAGCAGCCCACATATAGGAACATGAACGGATAGCCGAACTCGAGAGCAAGAAGATAGTGGATGGGCTCACCAGCATAGGTGGTACACTCCCCCGTGAAGCATCGGAAGGCCGTAAACATTGCGTCTGGAATGGTCCTCAAGCACGGGATTCGGACAGGTAACCTGAACCCAAAGTCGGGTAGGATCGTCTGGGAAATCTACGGCGCAGTGCTTGTTCTGGAACGTCATTTCTGAAGCCCAAACCCTCCCTGCAACTCCCTACAACCAAAGTGGCATGGTTTGGAGTGCAGGGATTGCGAAACCTCATACGGAAAGAGCTGTTGATCAGGATGCGATGCCGGATGGCTTCGCAACCTACAAACGGGCCGACTACCCCGAGCCGAAAGTGCCTGACCCCACGCCTCCAACAGCTAGATAAAGGCAAGAGTCGAAGGCGCAAATGACTCTCTAAGCCCTATAAAGCCCAAAGCCCTACTGTATGTGTGTCACTGCACGGGAGAACGGGGCCTCTGCTTCTGGAAGGAGCTGGTAATGCTTTGACCCTAGTATAACCTTAAACCCATAGCCCCTAACACCGAAAGCCATAAAACCTTTAGGCCCTAAAGCTTTAATTCTCAACCCTGCAAGCACAACCATAAACTTAAACCCTAAACCCATACACCCTATAAGCCCTAGGCCTACCTTTGAAAACACAAGGTTTTAGTGAGCAATATGAGGGCCTCAAGAGTCAGAATAGGTTGTTGAGGTATGTCACAATACGATTATATAAGGTCTACGCAGGACACTGAAAAGAGTCTTAGGCCTTTACCTATAGTCTCCATTGTAGCTACTTTTTTTGGTTTAACCAATTCTATATTCAGGATCAAAAAGGTAACCCCAAAAAGGAACTACAATGGGGACTATAGGTAGGTTAGGTCCTGAATAAGGCGACTGGTAGCTCTGCTCGTGTCCTTACCTGTAAGTCATACGCATCATCACAGGGATAGGGGCCGCAATATTAGCATGGAGCTCTGAGCTCTCCGGTTTCCTGCGTTATAACCATGTTAGGGTTTAGGGTTTAAGGGCTTCGGGTTAAGGGTTTAGGGTTTAGGGTAACCATATTATGGAACCCTAAGTAAGAATAATGTTCTAAGTTCTAAACCTGCGAGCCCCCGGTCCTGAAGTAGGGAACCAGGGTGTTCTCGCCATCGAAGGACATGTCGTCATAGTGGCTGCCGATAGTCATGGCGGAGAAGCCTGTTTTGGACTCTACATTCTAAACCGTGTAGTGTTCTGCCGGATAAAGGTTTCGGTTTAGGGTTCGGGGATTACGGCTTCTAGACTCCAAGATGGTAGCATGGGTGTTTGGACTTTCAGTCTCTCTAGGCTGCAGAAAGCCCTTCACCTGTCCGCCCGCCCCTCCGTGGACCGCTTGCCAAGCGATCCTTCCCGCAAAAGCCAAAAGAACTGTGATAACTGCTACATCTACCTGGAGGCCGTAAGTCCGTGGTGAGAACCTGTGAATCCGTTTGCTGCTCGTTTAGAGGGTCCGGTCTGTTGAGCCGGTACATGTGGGTCACTTGCTCCAGAACCAGACAGCTTTCGAAATGCAACGAAGCCCAGGAATTAAATTCCGCGCGATGTGTTCGAGACACAGAGGCGGCAGCCGAATGCGAGGTTACCAGATGACAGTACACTAGCTGCCACTAGCTTGTTCGAGTATACGTCTCGCTCGTCTGCTGTAGGCTTTATGTATCTTTCATCGGCATTCTATTGGTTGCTTCTGCGCGTCCTTCCACGCCCACAGTCCCGGAGAGATGAATGGGAGTTGTCTGTGCACGGCAACGGAAACGGCCAGCGGAATGTCGGAAAAATCGAAACCCGAGAACCTGCAAAGAGGGAAGCCGAAGCATGTCCAAAATTCTTTCGAGCTCTGTCGCATTGAACTGAAGCCCGTTGTGAGCGGGCAAATCTGTAAAAACATATATCTCTCTCTCTCACACTTTTTACATATATCTATATATATATACATATATGTATACATATATATATATTTATATATATATATATGTATATGTATGTATATATATATATATGTATACATACACACACACATATATATATATATATGTGTATATATACATATGTACATATATACACACACATATATATATACACACATATATATATATATGTATGTGCATGTGTGTGTGCGCAGAAGTATTCTGTGCGACTTGCGACCCCTAAACCTTAAAACCCTAACCCTAAGCCGTACTTGCTGCAACAGGATGCAGCAACTTGCTGAAATGCTGAGAGCCTTATGGGGAATAGGGTTTGGGGTGTCTCATACTACACTCAGACTAGGAACCCACAGGAGCTTTCTATGAGAGAGAGTTCAGGGTTCAGCATTACACCCCAAAACCTCGCTGCATAGACTCCTTATAAGAACCCCCATAGAAGCAACACGCAAAACCCTGTAGCAACCCTTACCCGGACATGAGCAACGAGCCCTACGTACCACACTTTCTAAGTTCCCAGAACACCCGAAGCCACCTTCTTTTGCATCAAGACTTGTGCTATCGCCTGAATGCCATAAACCCTAAACTCCCAAACCTTACATTTAAATCTTCTTGCAGCTGCCTTGCACCCAACCCCGAAACCCAAAATCCTGAACCCAAACCCCCTGCCTGAAATCACGTACAACACCGCAAAGAGAAGCACAAAAGCCAATGCCAGTGTCCGGATGCCCGCAAGCAAGCCTTTGACCTTGGCGATGTGAAAAAGGGTAAGGTTTACGCTCTCACAACTCGGACATGAAAAAAGGGTAAGGTTTAGGGTTTAGGGTTTAGGGACCCCTAAGCCCTAACCCCCAAAACCCCTGAACCCTAAAACAGCGTGGATTCAGAAGGTGTTTTTGATTTTCACCCGGGGGTTACAGAGCTGGTTTACGGAGTCTAAGCTGCCATTAGAGGGGTATGCTGTATAGTAACGATTGGGCTCACATACTGTAGAAACCGAAAAGACTAAACCCCGAACCCTAAACCCTCAAGAGCTCCGTGCGGAAAACAAACTTTAAGGACAGAACGCCGGACCCAACTAGATACGGAAATGCTTTAGGGGTTTAGGGCTTTTAGGGTTTAGGGTTTAGGGTTTTTTTTTCGGATTTAGTCCCGTGCGCTACAAGGGTTTAGGGCTTCTCGAGCAGCTTTGTTAGTGCAGGATATATGTTGTCTACCGCATTTTCTGGGTTCAGCAGTTCAGTTGCTGAGTTACGCGTCTTTGGTTGACGCCTCACCTCCAAAACTTACCACTAAAGGATGCGTGCGTATGTTTGGACGGCATAGGACAGTATCGGCATTTAGGGCTGAGGCAGCTAGATTTTCCACGGCCCGAGCTTCTGCTGCGGTCTGGTGGGGTTTGGCAGCTGACCTTATATTGATGATGAAACAGCACCTGTCATTCATGCTCCTGTGGGTCCTAGGCTAGCATCCATCCTCGAAAAGCCAGTTCATGCACTATTCCAGCTGTTTTCCTGAGTACATCTCTTCCAAAACAATCCTTGCAAACATTTATGCAGGTTGGGTTGAAATTCTGCTATGCTTTATATTCACCTATTTACAGTTCATGCACCCGCATCTGCAAAGTCAGCTTGCAAATAGTGGATAAATAGTGGCAAGCAGGCAAGGGCGAACACACAAGTAGCCTCCATGACCTGCTACTCAGAGCACTGGGCAGCCCCGCGACCAAAAACAAAAAAGAAAACAACAAAAAACAATATATATATATATATAGATATAGATAATATATATATATATATATTATATAAATTATATATATATATATATGTATATATATATATATCTATGTATATAAATTATCTATATATATATATATAAACTCTTGTTCCTGGCAGGCTGCCATGAGCCGCAGGTCTTTCATAAACCTGATGCGGAAGATTTTGACGATGCGCACCAAGCGAATCCTGAGCTTGATGGGGCTTGAAGGGGTTGCAGGGTTTATAGGGCTGATATAGGAGCTCAAGTTTAGCGTTCGTGGCTTGTGTTCAATGACAGTGTCTGGAAGTTGATGGCGCCGTCGTCGAAGGTTTGCAGATATGAAGGAATTCAGGCATTAGAAGCCCGTTAGATCCAAAATGAAGAATGCTTCAATAAGCCCGTGGGCTTGTACTAGTTCATGCCAGCGCGATTAGAGCGCACCACGACGGCGACGGCGACCAGGAAGCCGCATCACCAGGACCGCCATGGCCAACACAACGACCAGGAGGACCCGAGGAAGCGCCATGAAACCATCCAGAGATTTTCAGGAAAGCCACCACAAGTACTGGCGGATTCAGCACCACGGCCGGGATGCTTCCCCCAAGTTACCAGCAGAGCAGGGGAACAAGGCCAAAAGGCTATCCCCCAAGTACTGGCGGAATATTGGCCGGCGGGATTGAGAAGGACACCCCAAATCCTTTCCCCCAAGTATTACTTTCGAGGGCCAAAAAAAATAGCCTGGTCCAGAAGGCCGCACGGACCCTTTGCACCTAAACATTTTTTGAACCCAGACCCTGCACCTAAACCGTAAAACCCTTTTTGCAACAGGCTTCCCACTTCGCCCGCAAGCAGCCCTAGCAGCTTCACTGCGGAGCCAGCTTTCGCATCCGCCGATCAACGGCATCTGAAACTATGTTGAACAGGATAGCCTTGCCGAACTTATCATGAAGCATTTAACCCTAAACCGTAAAACCCTAAACCCTAAACGCTAAACCCCTAAGCCCTAAACCAGACTCTGCACCTAAACCGTAAAGCCTAAACCCGAAACCCAAAAGTCCTAAAGACAAAGCTTGCTCCGCACCATGGCAGGAGCGTCGCGTCGGCGACACTTTTGGCACGCGTTCCACCCGAAAACCCTAAGCAATTTCTGTGCCCTCACAAGGTAAGAACCCATGGGGTTGCCATTCTGCTTGAGAAAACCCAATCCGAGTTTAGGTTGAGTGTTCGTTGAGCTTTGGAGCTCCAGTTCATCCCAATCAGGCTCGAACAAACATTGATCGCCTTTTCATACAGGGGCCAACCGTTTTGGAACTATATGGGATAGTATTAGTGAGTATCCAGACCCTAATCCCTAAACCCCTAAA